GGCGCCGAGCCATATCTTCTACCTTTAAGCTTTTTTTTTTTTTTTTTTACCTTACTGATTCTTTCTCTGTAGACCACACACATTTGAAAACCTGGAAGCTAATCTAATCAAGACATTACCTAGAAATGTGTAGTTGGAGAGTCAGAATTCAAGGGCAAGGTGACAGTATGGATATCAGACCAAGCTGTGAGGCTTGAACAAACGGAAGGAGACAGTGGTGCTGAGCTGAAGGTTATTCTTCAAGGAACCTGGGATTCAGTCTTAGGTAGGGAGGAAGTGGTTAAAGGTGGTGAGCTCAAAGGACAGGTGAGAGTGAAGTTACTGTGGGGGTGGGAGGAAATAAGGAGGACTTGACAACTGACTGTTGTCAAGGAAGAGTAAAAGTAATCCTGAAGTTTTGACTGTAGGTTATTGAGAGAACAGAAGCACTGATTTCTTAAGTAGTCTGAAGGAGAAGCAGAGTTTGGGCATGAGAGGGAGCTCAGGAGATCAATTTTGTGCTTGTAGAATGGGACCTACAGCATTCATCCAGCCCATGGTGTTCTGTAGGCAGAGTAGAATGGAGGTGGGAGCCAAAGCTGGGAGATACAGAGGTAAGGGGAGTTTAGAGATCAGAAGTGAGTGAAAACAATTTGGGTTCAGACACAGAACGGGGGTCCTAAGCATTTCACAATGCCATTTGCAAGCTTTCATTTACTTCTTACTTTTTATTATTTATTTATTTATAACATAATATACTTCCTTGTTGTTATTAAAAAGCAGAATTCAGTATACCTGAATAATTGCATGGAAGAAACAAATGCCAAATATTATTTGTCTCCATTTTCTTCCGAGTATATTTTCTTCAAAAAACGAAGGTGTCATTTCAGTAAATGCTCGTCTGATATTTGCACGCAAGCCTTTTGGAGGCTCATTGGTTACCTGGATTTAAATAGAATATACATGGCAGAGAGAGTGGGATTTTATAGATTTGCATTATTTCTGAATAACACACATAGACTGCAGCCATCTTGAGGATGTAGATAACTGATAATAGGTAACTGATTCCCATGGGGGCATTCCTGATTTTCTAGCTTGCTTTGTACCTCACTCAGCTACAGCCCAGAGAGAATAAAGCCTTGCTGGGTCCTCAGGCTTAGAGTGGTTGGACCACCTGCCCAAGAACCTCAGGCACTTTCATTTGGTGTCTTTTTAACAAACGGGTGAGTTGACTTGACTGGGCTAACGGGGAAAAAAAAGTGTAAAATATATATAAAAAAACGACAACAAAACATGGGTCAAAAAGCTTACTCATGCTTTCTCTATTAAATTTTGTATTATTCCAACCTATGACATTGTCCCACACTTTGTCCCATGATGTCTCAGGGTGGAAGCACCTCCTGTTTCTCATACACATATTTGAAACTTCCAGCTTTAAAATCCAGCAGCTTGACTATCTTAGGTCTTCCTGTCTCTCAAATACTAAAACATTCCCTTAACTCTGGGAGGGCTCCAGTCTCATCACTCTGCACCCTTAGTGTTTCCTTGTGGAAGGTAAGAGCTGGAAGAGTTGAACGACCACTAGAACTAGGGCATGCAGGGATGGGCACTGGCTTGGAGAATCATTTCCTTGCTATCAGGTGAAAGGATAGTGACCTCTACCTCCCCACCCTGGCCAGGAAGGCCTCCATGTGGATCTTGTGCAAAGTCTGAGCTCCTTGAAGCCACCAGTAAACAGTCTGAAGCTGATCATTTCACATTGTGCCAACCATATGTATGCATTACCTTGACAGAATTTTGAAGAACTGTAACAGGAAATGTATCATTAGGCATGGAGCTTAAAAAAAGCCGAAAAGTGTCCTTGATAACACTATCTGTTTAAAGCAAAGACAAAACAATAAAACAAGAAAATGATTAGTTTGTAGTAGTACTTTTCTATAAAACGAAATTATTCTAGGGAAGGAAAAAAATTTTGTAAGCTCTGTTTAGAGACTTAGTCTACTGCAAGTATGTTATAAACTATTTTAAAATGGAGGTGGAAGGAGTCATTCTGGAAACGTCATATCAGGAGGGTTTGGCAGTCTAGAAGCTGACACATTTGGGTCAAGAAATTAGGTGCGTGTTACTTTTTAATATTTGATGAGATAGTAAGGGCTTTCTCTTTGACGTAGGGAAAATTTTCAGTTGAAAAAGAGGACAGTTTCCACCAGTGCACTTATGCTCTCGAGTTTTTTTTTGTTTTTTTTTGTTTTTAAATCATTCAATATAAGGCAAATTGCATGGAAATGGTCAGAAAGTCCTATGGAGAAGAAAGGGGTTCCTCTTCTCAGCAGAGAAGTTACAAAGGGAACAGAGAGAGAGGGGCTACAGAGGCCCCCACGCACAGCATCACGGTTCAAAAGGCCAAAGTCAAGGTTGAAGAATCATTTTTCCCATGGAAAACATGGGCATCATCCAAGGGCAACTTACTTGGCATTGGTTTTTAAGTATATATTCTGCTACTTCTCACACAAGCCAGGCTGATTCCCTCCCTAAGACCATTGCATTGGTTGTTCCCTCTGCCTGGAACACTCTTCCCTGGAATTCCTTTGCTTTCTTCATGTCTTGGTCAAATGTTGCTTTCTCAAAGAGCTCTACCCAGATCATACCATTTCAAATTGCTATCCTCCTTCCTTCCTGCTCCCATCTCATCCCAGTCTTTCTGATGCTGCTTTCCTCTCCTTTTAATTTTTTCCAAAGCACAACCACATTCTATCACACCATATATGTTTTCTTATTTATTATGTGGCTTCTTCATTGTCTATTTTCCTCCACTAGGACGTGAGCTCTATGAAGACAGATAGCTATGGTAATTTTGTTCACCAACATACCCTAGAACATATACATAGAACAGGGCCAATGATTTCACTAATTAAAACACCAAAGAAAGAAGATGGCCAGGTTTGGGGAAGAAGCAATTTTTTCCCCATACTTTTCCTCTTATAATTACAAAAGCATCAAGATTCTTAACTTTTATAGACATCATAGAATTTAAGAGCTGTAAGAGAATCTTAGGAATCATCTTAGTAGAGGACTTTTAGTGATGATGCTATACAGTCATTTTACAGTTGGGTAAACTGAGGGCCAGAGAAAAGATGTGACAGGCACAGTCAGGAAGTGGTGGGGCAAGACTCTACTGGGATTTTAGAATGTCAAATCCAAAGGTTTTCTTTGTTTCTTTCTTTTTCTCTTCCTTTCTTTCCCTTTCTTTTTTCAGCTTGCTATGTGAGTATATTTTATTTTATACTGTTCAAGTTAAACATCAGCTCGAATGGTTAAGTTATAAATGATTATAGCAAGGGCCAGAAGAGGCTTCTCTGTCCAATTTAGTTTAGTGAGTCATAAACACTTAAAACCCAGACAACTTCAGATGGCTTCCTTAACCTATCTGGGCTCCCTAAAGAACTGGCAAATGCTCTTGTTCTAGTTATAAGGAAGCTGAATGACGTCTCTGATTCCGGAGGCCTGTGTGAATGATACCATTGCAACAGATTCCCTTTTGGATGCCAGCCCTAGCATTTTTTCTTAATTATAATCCTAATCATTGGAGACCCCTGAAGAGTAAGTAGTAAAGCCTTCTTGTTATTTCTCTAATTATTTAAATGGAAATTTATTATAGGGCCAGTAGGAAGCAGGTCATCCATTATTTGACTGCAAAAGAGTCAAAAGGGAGAAGATTCTGGATAATGGGTACAAATAACTCCTTATCCTTTTTAGAAGTAGTCTGCAGAAGATGGGGCAGGATGGGTGGGAGGAAGGCACCAGGGAGTGAGGGGCCTTCAGGGAAAGGCTGCTGAGCCCCAAGCTGGGTAAGAAGCACAGACAATTGAATCTGTAAAAAAGCAGCTCTTTACCTTAGTAGGTAGTGCTGAGTGAAGAGATTTGTAGACTATCTGTGTAGCTTTCACCTTCCCAAAAGCTTTATAGTCAGGGTGGAAAGTAAGACCCCAGAAGAAAGGGCTCTCTTTAGGTATCCTTGGCCAGTGGTTCTCCCCAGTGGCCTCCTAACAGAGTGGTCAAGTGGGACTCACACAATTTGTTACCAATAGAACAGTTTCTACTAAGGCTTTGATTATTTTTCTACCAATATTGAAAAATGAGTAGATTCTATTATACTTCTTTCTTTGCGAGCCATTATACTTTCTTGTGTGGGAAAGTGGTGAGATTATAGCCAGTGCTAGTGACTTTGAATAATTTTGGGCACACCCATGGGTTGTGTATGATTCTGAGGTACCTGTGAAGGTTAATTATTATGTGTGTTACAGAGAATAAAAAGTTGTAAAACACTAGGGAAGTTGTGGTAATCTGAACTCTGTTCCTTTACTTCTTTTATTTTATAAGGAAGGATTTAATTTCTTTTCTGCGTCCTAGATCTATCTTTCTATTTCTTTTAACTATTCCTATGGGTAGTATATTTTAAATTCAAATGACCTCCTATAGAGGGCAATATGAAATAGAAATTATCCAGTGTATCATACCCTCAACTTGGAGTCTGAAGATCATTGTTTGGATTCTGATTGTGTAATTTAATCAAATCTGTCTAGGGAAGCATAATACTTATAAGAATTACAGTAAGGAATGAATTCAGCAAGAAAAGGCTACATAAACTGGTATTATTATGTAAATGCAATGTGCTCAACTTACTTGGGTCTGTGAAGGTTTTAATTAGCTCTTCCATTGCCAACATCCAAGAAACAGCAAGATGGCAATTTTGTAAAAATACCCAGTTTCCCGATTTCATTGCATCCTTGATCATTTTTTCAGCAATGGGCCCTTGTCCTTGCCCCAGTGAAATTGACTGCACTCTGAATTGAACAGCATCAACAAAAACAATAAAATACTGTTTTGTGCTATTTTTAAGCAAAACAAATATTAAGAACTATGAATATGGGAGATTTTTGCTTAGAATATACATACTTATATTCTGATCCTCATCCTGGTAAATATTCAAATTTTTTTTTTAATTTTTCCAAAGTCTCAAAAAATAGACAACTAATATTAATAGATAAAAGAAATAGAAGATAATTTCAAAAAACAGTTCATGCCAAATCTTATAGACAATAGAAAAAGAAGAAATACTTCAAATTCATTCTACTTCATCTAGATATACCTGATATTAAAATTGGAAAAATATATTTTTATAAAGGGAAATTACAAATAAATTTCACCTATAAATGAGGATGCAATATCCTAAACAACATGTTAACAAGTTGAACTAAAAATTATTGTTCAAATAATATACTTTGGTCAAAATTAAATCCAACTTATGTGAGAATTAGTTGCTATTTTCTTTTTTTTTCTTTTCCTTTCCCCCACTCTCTCCCTCCTTTTCTGCCTGCTCTCCCCTTCCTCCACCCCCCACCGTGTCATTAATTGTCATTAATTGTCCTCATATCAAAGTCGAATGCATAGAATTCATGGTTCTCCATTCCTGTGATGCTTCACTAAGAATAATGTGTTCCACCTCCATCCAGGTTAATACAAATGCTGCAAAATCTCCATTTCTTAAAATGGCTGAATAGTATTCCATGGTATACATATACCACAGCTTGTCAATCCATTCCTGGGTTGAGGAGCATTTAGGCTGTTTCCACATTTTGGTGATTGTAAATTAAGCTGTGATAAACAGTCTAGTACAAGTGTCTTTATAATAAAAGGATTTTTTCCCTTCTGGATAGATGCCCAGTAATGAGATTGCAGGATCAAACAGGAGGTCAAGGTTGAGATCTTTGAGGTTTCTCCATACTTCCTTCTAAAAAGGTTGTATTAGTTTGCAGTCCTACCAGCAGTGGAAAAGTGTTCCTTTCTCTCCACATACGCAACAGCATCTGCAGTTTTGAGATTTTGTGATGTGGGCCATTCTCCCTGGGGCTAGGTGATATCTCAGGATGGTTTTAATTTGCATTTCTCGAATAATTAGGGATGATGAGCATTGTTTCATGTTTGCTAACCATTCGTCTGTCTCCTTTAGAGAAGGTTCTGTTTATCTCTCTTTCCCATTGATGTATGGGGTTGTTGACTTTTTTCATGTGGATTAATTTAAGTTCTCTATAGATCCTAGTTATTAAGTTTTTGTCTGATTCAAAATAGGCAAATATCCTTTCCCATTGTGTAGGTTGTCTATTTGCTTTGGTTGTTGTTTCCTTAGCTGTACAGAAGTTTTTCAGTTTAATTAAATCCCATTTGTT